AACATTTGGATTTGAAAGGACAGCAGGTGCAAGCACTTAAATGAAACCTTTAAAGATCTCCTCAATTTAAGGTAAGGTTTGTCCCTTGTATGATCTAAATTGATATTATTTTATGATGATACCATCTATCTTTTCATATTTGTGCAAATCTTTCTAAAACAGAAAATTGACAAAATTCAATGGATATCAATCAACAAAGAGGTAAGAATATGTAGGCTATAAGAATATGTTGAAAGCTAGCTGTATTGGGCACAGATGACTGAACTGCTCAGTTTTGTGTCTGTGTCCGCAGGTATATGTTATGCAGATCACATGTACCATCCTCCTCCCTTACCTCTTCAATGAAAATTCCATTGGCCTCTACATTATGGACAAGGTATGTGTATGAAAACCATTATCAAAACAGTTCACATTTACTACAAAAACCAAGGTATGAATACTGGCCTGTGCATAAAAAATAAAAAAACGGTATAATTACTATTTATTTTTTTATTCACAGACTTCACCCTCCCTACACCTCTGATGAATATAACAGGATACCTGTTTGATTACCATGCACTGCAAAATCATTCTGGCTATGGATACAGAGAACATCAATACATTAACATCAACACGCCAGAGGATATACCCATTGGACTTGGGGCTCTGCTGGGAGTTTACCTCATATTTAGATTTTTTTATTCTGCTTTGCCACTAAAATCATAATAAACACTGACAACTAAAATATTGTGTTATTGTTATTCATAGTATTATTATTATTATGAATAATAAGTATTATAATAATATGAGGGAGGGGTAGTTAAAAGATTCTTCAAGGATCTATTAAAAGGGGTTCTTTGAAGAACTTATAGGGGTTCCCTCACAGTTTCAATTTGAAGAACCCCTGAAGGATACTCCAGGAACCATTTATGTTTAGAGTGTGTAGCTCACAATCTACCTGTTGGAGACCCGTGCGCTATATGTAGCAATCTACCTGTTGGAGACCCGTGCGCTATATGTAGCAATCTACCTGTTGGAGACCCGTGCGCTATATGTAGCAATCTACCTGTTGGAGACCCGTGCGCTATATGTAGCAATCTACCTGTTGGAGACCCGTGCGCTATATGTAGCAATCTACCTGTTGGAGACCCGTGCGCTATATGTAGCAATCTACCTGTTGGAGACCCGTGCGCTATATGTAGCAATCTACCTGTTGGAGACCCGTGCGCTATATGTAGCAATCTACCGTGTGTAGTGAAAGGATACACACATTTTTCTGCCTTATTTAAATATAAATATTTAAAAGGATTACATTTGATTTTTTATGAAAAACAAGGATGTCTTGATTGCGTAGGTCTTCACACCCCAGAGTTCATTTGTGGTGGAAGCACCTTCAGCAGCAATTAAAGCTGTGAATCATTTTGTCAAAATTGCTCAAGCTCAGTCAATTTTGTTGGGAATCATTGATGGACAGCAATATTCAAATCTTGTCTCTGATTTTCAAGCAGATTTAAGTCAGCACTGAGACTGGAACACTCAAGAACCTTCAACACCTCTTGGAAAGCCATTCTAGTGTGTCTTTGGCCTTAGAATTTTTGTAATTGTCCGGCTGAAAAATAAAACTCTAACCCAGGGTTAGGTCTTCAGAAGACTGAAGCAGATTTTCCTCTATGTTTTTCCCTGGACTTTGCTCCTTTTATATTTATTTTGATCCTGACAAACTCCCCAGTCCCTGTCTGTGACAAGCATACCCATAACAAGATGCTGCCACCATAGATATCCCATTAAATGAAATGTTCTACTTCCTAATTCTATGGCTGCCACCACAATGTTTGAAAATACAGAGGGTTTCACTCTAATGTGATTTGACCCATACCTGAAATGTTTATTTAGGCAAAAAAAGTTAATTTATTTGCAATGTTGTCTTTTAGTATTGGATGATTTGGAATCTATATATTTTTAAACACAGGCTTCCTTCTTTTCACTTTGTCATACAGGCCATTAATGTTGAGTGAATGCAGTGTTGTTGATCCATGCAGTTCTCTCAGCTCCGCCAATAAATTATGTCAGCTTTAAAATAATCTTAAACCTCATAGTGATATCCCTAAGCAGTTTACATTCTCTCCCGCTGCTCAGTTAGGATGGCCAGATATTTGCAGTGTCTGGGTGATATGATACACCATCCATAGATTAATTACCATACTTGACCATACTGAAAGGGACATTCAGTGTCTTGGAATTATTTCTTAACCTCCCCTGATCTATCACTGCCTAAACATGTATCCCAGTCATTCTCATGAATCTCATTGGTGGCTCTGAGGTTAAATCATTTTTTTAAATTCACTATCCAACTGAAGGACCTTACACAGACAGGGGGAGTTATTCTTGAATCATGAGAAGCACTACGTTACGTATCTTAAACGTATTTTTGATGTGCCACAGCAAGGGTAGTGAGGACCTTTGCAATCAAGACTAATACATAAAAAAATTAAAAAATCATTTCAGAACATTAAAAAAACACTGAAAATGTGGAGTAGGTTGTGTAGATCAGTGGGAGGAAATCCCAATGTAACCCCTTTTTAGATTGAAATTTAAGGCAGCAAAATGTGAAAACTGTGCAGGTGTGTGTAGACTAACTAGGCACTGTGTACAAAATATTAAGAAGACCTTAAGAATTAAGAATACGCATGTTTTTTTGTTTGTATTATCTTTTACCAGATCGAATGTGTTATATTCTCCTACATTAATTTCACATTTCCACAAACTTCAAAGTGTTTCCTTTCAAATGGTATCAAGAATATGCATATCCTTGCTTCAGGTCCTGAGCTACAGGCAGTTAGATTTTGGTATGTCATTTTAGGCGAAAACTGGAAAAAAGGTTATAATCCTTAAGAGGTTAACCTGTCTCCTCCCCTTCATCTACACTGATTTAAGTAGATTTAACAAGTGACATCAATAAGGGCTCATAGCTTTCACCTGGATTCACCTGGTCAGTCTATGGCATGGAAAAAGCAGTTGTTCTTAATGTTTTGTACCAAGTCTTCACTAGGCAAGTCTTATAGACACACACAACAGGACAAGGCAGTACATCAGAAAGTGAATGCAACAAACTCAACATATCATCAGGTTAGACAAAACACAGCTCAGATAAGTTTTAATGATGACATTGAAGCAAGGCTGAATCTATAGCAAGACCCAGCTCCGTAATCCAGTTGAATCAGGTTCAGAGTTACATATTTTATTCGCCATGACATGTCCTATTCAGTAGTTCAATTCATAAAGCACATTTGAAAATCTGTCAATGTATAGCTGAAAACTCCCCCAGGTTAAATTGGGATAAAAAATAAACGTATGATGTTAGCGAAGTCAGTGTGGGGATGAGTCCAAGATGGCACCTTATATTCCTTACATAGTGCACTACCTTTGACCAAAATCATGGGCCCTGGTCAAAATAGTGCACTATATAGGGGAAAGCGTGATCTGTTCCAAAGTATTGCACTAAAGGGAATAGTGTGCCATTTCAGACGCAGCATTGGTGTATGGTTTGGTTGAGGAGATTGGTCGTGGGACCCTCTGAAGAGGGCAGGAAGGCAGAAGGGTTATGCAGCTCACAGCGGTTCACAGGCCAGCATGCAGTTTCACTTGAAACCAAATTCCATCATGAAATGTCATGAAATTTAACCAAGAAATACAGTAGGAGAGTCAAATCTCCTTTCGACTAGAGTACTCAATACAGTACATCCAAAACAAATATTAAATTACTATCATGAAGCACATACTGATTATTACAGGTAGGAAGGCAGGCAGAAATGGTCCCCATCTTTGATGACAATGAAAACATAACTGTAGTAAGTAAAACTCTTAAAGTCTCTTCACATAGAGGTTTGGAATCTAATGACTCACAATGGACACTTTACGTAGCACTGCTTAGTGAGTCAGTGATTTGGCTTTGCTGAGGAACATCTACTTAATAATAATAATAATAATTATTATTATTATTATTAGGTGGGTGTTTATATTTGTCCTATTTCACACATGTATTAATACGCGTGTGTGAATTGAAAATGTGTTTTTTGCATATCCCAAGTCCCCCAGAGAGTGGAGTCACGGACAGGGTCTATTTTGTGAGGTTTCTAAGGATAATTTAGTACCGAAGGCTTGGTTCCAAAGTTAACTGTTTCAGTAAAACAGCAATGGAATTATAAGGCATGGGACAGGAAAGGCTAGACATAATACTGGATTCAAGTGAATACAGAGGGAGGATTTTGGGTACTGGTCATTCTACTGCTACTGATAAAATAGATCCATTATGTAAAATGTTCTAAGGTATTGCAGCATATCATTACGCAAAATCAACCTGCAACATTTTCAGCCAAATTTAGCTATTGCTTAATGCTCCATATTCCACAAATTGTCAAAACCATAGATGACGGGTTGACAGAATGGGTTGATAAGAGTAACGATTCACGTGTACAGTAGGATAATACATTTGATTATATCGCAAATCATATCACAGAACATTGGGCTAGGATGATTGATTAGAAAAAAGTGCAAAAGCTAGTTGTAAGCTAATGCTATAAGTTAAAGATCAATGTATCTACTTACATCTTGTAAGTACTTCATAATACAAAATAAACAAATTAGAACAAATAAGGAACCAATAAGTTATTTTTTGGGGGGTCTCAGATCACAAATAAGTAAACAAAAGCAAAAACACGCACAGGATCGGGGATCAGTAGTATTTGGCTTAATCACACATTCAATATACAGTTAGGGTTTTTATAAACAATAAGTACCAAGGTTTTCTTTCCAGTGGCAAATAAAATACCAACCTCATCTCCTCCAGCCTGCATTCATAATATTAAAAATCAATTTTCTAAAACATCAGCAGACGAGGAGGGTAATTAGTAGAACCTCTTAAAACAGTTAAATTATTCAAATGAATTTCGTCCAGTCAGTAGCTTTTCCGAAACTGTAGAGCAGCACTGTCAGAGTTAGGGTTTCGTCTGCATCTGTCTCTCTCAAAGGTCATCCGTTATCCTCAGTAGCTCCAGGAAGGCACCGACGGCCCCGAAATAACCCTGAAAAACACAGAGGGGGCTCGGGTTTTATCTGACCAGGTTATCATCAGCAACCTTGATATTCCTACTCGGCGCCCAATTGTAACCTACCCAAATAATGCAGATGATCTGTTGTTTACCCTTTTTATTGTACAATTAGACTAAAACAACAAGTGTGCGGAGCATAGAAACGTTCCTCATATAACACATACCTCATGCTCTAAGAAGAGAGCTTTTAATTGTCCTTTGGACCAAAAGTCCATGGCATACGCAAGCAGCTTCGTTGACACTGTATTGATTCTCAGGAAATTCCCAACAAACACCACTCTTTCAATTTTCTGAAAGACAACATTGAACCATTGGTAAACCAGAAATTCTTAGAGCTTGCAAGAATGACTGTTTCACAAAGCAAGACAGAATTAGATATTTTAAAAGTAAGATATATTTTTAAAAAAAGATTTGTTTAAAGACCTTAGGCCGGCTCCCGCAGACTAATAGCATAGATAAGGGGTGTCAAACTCATTCCATGGAGGACCTAGTGTCTGTTGCTTTAGTTTTTCCTTTCAATTAAGACCTAGGCAACAAGGTGAGGGGAGTTCCTTACTAATCAGTAACCTTAATTCATCAATCAAGTACAAGGGAGGAGCGAAAACCCGCAGACACTCGACCCTCCGTGGAATGAGTTTGACACGTGGCATAGATGGATGTCTGGCTGCCATCTAGGGGAGAGAACCTGACATTACAGCAGTGGGAGGAGCTGTCTCACGCTTCAGTGACTCAGCAGCAAGGGAGAAAAAGATTGTGCAATAGACAAGCAATGAACAGCTCAACTCCTGTGAATGACATAGTTGCGGGGCTAACAGAGTAACAAGACCACTCATTCTAAGTAAAAAAAAGCGGGCCATTTTGCAGGGACGTTTTAAGACTTCACCCAATTCATACACTGTACTCTACATGCATTGGTAGCTAGAAAGCTGAATCAAATGTACATTTGTGTACCTCGTGCTCAAAACATTAAAATGGGGTTACTCAAGGGGAAGATAATTTGCCCACTTGATATTTGTATAGAAAGCATCCTGTTGTTGTTCTATGTGCTTTGATAGCCCTGTACAATGCTGCTTGATCTCCATGCCACAAGGCAACACTGTAAAGAAGCTGAAAGCACACAGAGTCCATTCCCATCATCCATCATATTGGCTACTGAATCCACTTCACTCCTTTGTTTTATGGTGAAAGAAAATAACTTTGAGAAGGTTTACCCTTATGTTACAGTCACAACACAGTGTGGTATATGCTCACTGTTAGAATCAGTGTTAAATTTGGCAGCTATTTTAGATTTAGTTTTAGTCTTAGCTTTAGTCTTAAAATACCTTTTAGTCTTAGTCACATTTTAGTCATTTCATCCTTCGTTAGTTTTAGTTATTATCAGTCGACTAAAACTAGACTATTAAATAATAAATATTTAGCCTCCCTCTAACTTCCATCATGTCCCATTCAGATAGGCTTGTCCAACTAGGCCTACTATCCCCATGTATACCTTAGCTGGCTACATTGATATTGTGGCAGATTGTAACCAATGCCAGCCATAATTAACCATGTAGGCTATAAAGCCTTGGATACAGCTTAATCAATTTAGAGCTCTAATTTTCTCGCCATCATAATCGTCAAGGGGGGTAAATAACAGTGGTTTCCTTGAAAATAGGAGAATTTGAACTTTCCAAAAATGCTAGCAGTATTACCTTACTCCTAATATCCAACAAATAGCATTTGTTTTTCCCATAGGGTAAAAGCAACCGCAACTCGCACACCGCAGCGTGAGAGCGGCAGCACAGATTAATGAATAACTGCGCACATGGGAAAATAGAGCTTCTGATGTGATCAAACCAAAAATAGCCTACATGAAAGTACGAGAGAGAGTAAACATTATTGTTTCTAGTTGAGGTTAGTTACATGTCAAGTGTCCTGGCTTAGCATCAGTTCAAAAGACGAGTGACTGTGGGAACTGTGTGGGAAAGCCGGGCAGATCAGCTCAATCAGACCGTGCAACTGAAAGATGTTAATTCTGCCATTTTTTTCTTTTATTTTACCTTTATTTAACTAGGCAAGTCAGTTAAGAAAAAAATCTTATTTACAATGACGGCCTACACCGGCCAAACCCGGACGACCCTGGGCCAATTGTGTGCCGCCCTATGGGACTCCCAATCACGGCTGGTTGTGATACAGCCTGGAATCAAACCAGGGGGTCTGTAGTGACGCCTCAAGCACTGAGATGCAGTGCCTTAGACCGCTGCGCCACTCGGGAGCCCAATGAGAGGATAGCATGAAATACTCTGCGTGCATGTATGCTTCATGTCAAATTAAATGTTAATTAGTCTCATGTGGAATTCTCATCTCATCACATTTCCGTAGACTAAAATGAAAAGCAATTTGTAATATTTATCTGGGTTTTTTCAGGGCATCTCATTATCGTCATAGTTTTAGTCAGGAAAAATAGGTTGTCGACCAGTATTTTTAGTCAGAGTTATTGTTGACGAAATTAACACAGGTTAGAATGTCTCATCAAAGTAAGACTTCCACTGAAACAGAAGTAAATACATCTACTTTGTACCTCATTCACCGCACACATACGAGCAATAGAACCAATGTTGTTGGTGATGGTGACGAGAGTGGCTCGGGCTAGGTCCTCCTTACTGATGCTGTCACGCTTCTCCTTGCTCATCATATGACCAAAACTGCAATTAATTATTCACTGGGTTAGTTTCCATAATACTCAGTATTCAAAGCATACTGTTACTGGAAGTCTTGAGGTTACAACATGTGTCATGTATCAGCTAACTTAGACCTCACCTAGATGCAACTGCAGACCCCTGGAGACCGAAGCGTTCATAGTCTCCTCCGTAGATGTCCTTCACCAGTTTGTCCACGTTGCTGCTGTCCCCCTTCGCTGCCATTTCCAGGGCCTCCTCGAACGTCTCGCAGCCAGTCAGCAAGCAGCACAGGCCTAGGAAAGTACCACCTCCCAAACTGTGGAGGACAGGCAATTATGTGACCTACTACTCTATGGGTTGTACCACTGTTTAGCTTGCAGGAAACAACCCACTGGGCACAGACATAATTTCAACGTCTAGTTTTGGTTTACATTTGATCGAGTTGTCAACTAACGTGAATTCAACAAAAAATGTCACCATGTCATTGGATTTAGGTTATACGTTTGGTGAAAAAAATACGAAATTCCCTTACGTTGATGACTTTTTTCTTTTATCACATTGTATTTTTTGTTTGTTGAAATTATGTGGAAACAACATTGATAAAACCTGTTTTTGCCCAGTGAGAAAGTTGTATTTGACTAAGAAGTTATTAATTAGTTACCATGATAACTATTATCTAGTCTCAAAACAAGACTACATCGAATACAGATGGATGCGAGCAATGACAGAACTGTGTTGCCAATGACAGATCAAATAAATACAGCTATCATGACGTGGAGTGACACAGGATTATCTCTGTTTGCCTACACTAAAACAGCAACAGATTACATTTATTTACCTGGTGCCTGTGACCCGTTTGTAGTTGTCCTTCGAATAGACTGCCAGGATGCTGACCCCTGAGCCAATGTTTACCAACAACATGGGGAAGGGGTTGTCAAGGCAACACGTTCTCTTGACACAGTTCTCACTCTCGGGGTCAGAGGGGTTCTCGAAAAAGTAGCACTCTGGATGGCCATTGAACCCCACTGAGTCCACATAGAGAAGCCCCTGGATAAGACAGTCCAGTTCATCTAGCTTCTGTAGCTCTAGGTTGGCGATCTGGGAGATGGAAAACAGAATATCTATAAGACAATAGGAGAGAAAGAGAAACTGGAGTGGTTTTGATATGCAATGGTAACTCCTCCAAGAGCATGAACTGTCTATAACACACCTAGACCAGGCAAGCCTGAACCATCCACATCTACTCCCATCTAATCACATGAGAAACCATGTTGCCTGTAATGATCATGCCACAATATATTTAACTGACTAATGACATGTAATAACATGCAATACGACATTAATTCACATCGTTTGTCACTTTCAGTCATTCTCCCTGGCTGACAACACCCAATCGTTCTAGCAACCACCACGCACTGTCCTAAAGTCCTCCTCAAACTTGTAGGCCCCTCCGCCGGTGGCGCAGAGTGTGGTGTGCAGGCTGGAGAAGTTCTTGTCTCTGCCCATCTGGATGAAGCCCAGCATGTCCTGGGTGGGGAAGCGGATGAAGTGCAGGTTGCCCTTCCGGCCGCACATGGTCAGGTTCTTCAGCTCTAGGTGGACATCGCGGATGCCCGTGTCGCTGTAGGCCACATTGGAGGTCAGGTAGCGACGGATACTCTTCAGGCTCTCCACCTCCTCCTGCTCCTCCTCTGCCGTGATGTCCTTGGGCTCAAAGTAGACCAGCTTCACCAGGGTGCCGCCGATGTCCATCCCAAACCAGGGGAAGGCTGGAACAGAAAACAAAAGGTGTTTTGAGAGATGAGTTAGAGGTTTCAGGAAGAGCTTGGTCACCGTTGCCCGTAGAAAAGCACTGTTAAGCTCTTTTGAAATTGTGCTAAATTCTCTTTGGAGAAATGGATACACAAGCTCTCAAAACAGAGGACTCTAGTGTTCTGTCTATGTCACAACTAAGCTATTGCTCTATATAAGCCTACCAATTAACTGTGCTAACTGAAACTTACTCAAACCTATGTTGCATTTTCTAACTTGATTTCACTGAAGACAAAAGCATTATGGCATATTATGCACACATCATGTCTTCATATTAGTAGATCATTGTGACATTTTTCTCTCTTTTCTGGAGAGAGGGAAGAAGGGAGAGGAAGAGGGTTGTCTTAAATTCACAACAGTGTGTTTGTTCTGCAACAAAAGATGAGGGCTTTGTTGCCATGGAAATACCAGCATGGAGAAAAGATTGCCTGGATATCCTGCCTAACTCTCAATGAACTCTTGAGTGTACAGTACAATGAATATGTAGTCAATACATCGGCAGGCAAACTGGTTCCTTCCTCCTGGCTTTTGAATTAACGGCACTTCATTTGACAGTGGGGTGTATAGTCCCTAATGGCTCATTCCACAAACCAGCCTGGTTACATTCAACTCTGTGTGAAGCTACAGAAAAGCAGTAACCAAAAGACATGCTTGAGTTGCTTACAATAGTCAAATTTGAGATGTAATTGTTGATTTGGTTCTGGCTTGCAATGATACCCAGATTACAACACCATTACACCTCTGATATATGGTTAATCCAAGATATCAGAGGTGTACTGGTGGTGTAATCTGGGTTGGACAATCAATTTATCATAGAGGAACTTGACATAACATTAATATATTGATCTCAGCAAATGTGTGAGTGTCTACTCTGGAATCTTCACTGACTTAATCACCTGCTTTCAATATCTTCAGTCAGTGGTGCTACAGACAAATCCTGCTTTGCAATGATTTCACAGTAATTTTACAGAGGACTGAATGTTTGATTTTCCGCCACTCATTCTCAAGTAATGGCTGAGCTATATTGCTTTTCCTATCATTTCAATGTAGCGCTTATGTTTCTGTTAATACCACACTTCCACTCCTTCTCAGGTGATGTCCGAGCCCATCCTCAGTAGACTAAGCGAGGAGTGTGGTAGGAAAACAAACAAACAGACAGCCCAAACAGAGGCCTGACATGTCAATCGAGGAGCAGCCAGCAGGTCCATACATGCTCAGGACTGGTGGTCTAATGGCTGCTGAAGTGTAGTAAGAACCTGTGCTGTAACCTGGAAGCCAGGGGACTATGACTGGCAGCATTTATAGGTGAAAGGTTTGTTTATTCCCCCACCACAAGGCCCAGAGAGCAAATTTCAAATGGCTGGGTTGCATGCATACAAGACAGATAAAGACCGCTTCTTACTACACCAGCCAAATAGTTCCAGATGCCAAAGTGTAGAGCAATGCAGTATTCAAGAAATTAGTCAAATTGCTGTTTGTTTGCTTAGATTTGATTCTGCCGAGGTAGCAGGAGATTTAAATAAACGAATAAATTAAAGTAAGCAAATAAGTATATTTCAGCCATTTAAAATACAGTAGAGTAGAAACTCGTACCTGGCTTTTTAACAACAAACTTAATTGTGATCCTCAGGTCAAGGTGCTTATGGTCAAATACTCTTCACTCCAAGACTTATAAGTAGTATCACTCAGTCCTATTGAATTGTGGCATGATGTCATCACAGCAATAAGGCAGACTACACTTCCCTGACATAGTGACATTAATTTGTTTTACAGTGTTATATTGGAGACAGAGAAAGATCTGTTCTGTTCATGGGGCTGGCTACTCTGTCAGTTTCTTCAGCCAACCTCCTTAGGCAAGTACTGACGGCTGATTGGTCGAAATTACCTGGCTCTCATATCAGCAGCGATTTCAGCACACCTCATGACTTTGGAACGACCAATGAAAAAATGGCTCGACAGACAACATCAAAGATCTCACAATAACAAAGGGGAGGAGAGAAATAGAGGCTACATCTCTATTACCAGGAGGGTTACATTCGTGTAAAAGAACAATTAGAATTGCATAGTATGATTAAAACATGTATAAACAATACAGAATATGGTGCTTGATTCTTATTGGTTGCAAAATTGTGCATTTCTCATAGACATTAATACCTTATGGAATGTAGTAGGATACAGGAATATAAAGTATTTCTCCACATAGGCGTACAGGCCCATTATTCATTACAGAAGCAGTATCAATGGGAGAATTGGGCGGATAGCCTTCCTTATTGATATTCTTGGAAAAGCCTCGCAACAAAGCGATATTCTATTCTGCAGCAGAAAGTCAAACTGGTTCATTGTGTCATGCAAATAGCCTAGAGATGGCACCATAGAAAATCTAGGCGACTTTAATTCCTGAGAGGATGCTTAGAAATTGTGTAGGGCAGATTTCACCGAATGTGTAGTTTCAATGTCATATAATTTGCATAATGCACACAAGTAGCCGATTTTAGACAGCCGACATGATTGACAGCATCGAAACTGAAACAGTGTGGGCCTATCAATATTGTATCCTACTTACGCGGTCGGTTCTTTTTGCCAGAATCCATTCTTCTCCTGAGTCTGCACCGCTTTGGAGGCGACCCATTATTATAGACATCCTCGTGAAGATGGTGGACATTTTCAATTCCATTATGGCTACAACCACCACCACTACTACTATTACTACTACACCCTCCACTACCACTGCTACTGGTTCCGTTAAAACCTAAAGTATTGCAGCTCCCGTTTTCAGTTTGTGTAGGATTGAATCCATTTATCAAACCATTCTCTTGGCAAGCGCCTGTTCTTTTCTGATCCGATGCCTTGCCATTATCCATTTTTTTTTTGCGCAGGGAAAGCACTAGCGGGCAGTCTCAGAAAGGCGAAATGAGTCCGCTTTCCTCGGCGATGATTCTTCAAAAGAATGTCAAGCTATTTGGTAAAGATCTATTACGACGACAAAAAATAATGATGTTGGGTCGAAGTAGATAATGGAACAACTGCTAGGACGTTTGGCTGAAGTCACTGCCTTTATACAATCTATGGGTCACTGTCGGTCATCTTGCTTCATCATGCTCCTCTTGCGGCAGCTTCCGAGTTAAAACAGCCGGCAGCCTACGTCATTGTATGCAGGCTGTTTCTTACAGCCCCCCAATTTCCCCTGGGGGTAAATTATTACATTGCTTTATCGTGCTCCTCTTGCGACAGCTTCCGAGTTAAAACAGCCGTAAGCCTATGTCATTGTACAGGCTGTTTCGTCAGCCTGGTCTTGGAGCATTTTGTATTATTCTGTACATAAATCCGAGACACTACATTTCGTATGATATGTTACATTTGGTATAGTTACATAATTTTAGGGTGGATGGGGTGGCCATATAACACCAACGTCTAGCAACCCAAAGGTTGAGAGTTCAAATCTAACTTTAGCATTTTACCTAATTAGCAACTTTTCAACTAGTACTACTTTTTAGCTACTTTGCAAACTACTTAGCATGTTAGCTAACTCTTCCCCTAACCCTAACCTTAACCCTTCACCTAACCTTAACCTTAACCCTTTTAGCTAACACTAACCCCACCCTTTAACCTAACTCTTAAACTTCACATTAACCCTAACCCCTAGCCTAGCTAACGTTAGCCACCTAGCTAGAATTTGTAACATATCATATGTTATGCACATTTGTAAAATATCATACATTTTGCAAATTTGTAATGTATTATAAGTTTCGCAAATTCGTAAGATATTGTACGATTTGCAAATTCATAACATATAATAAGAATTGTAATTCATATCGTACGAAATAGGTGATGGACATCCACAAATTAATGCATACCATATGAAACGTAACATATCATACAAAATGGAGTGTCTCGGATTTATGTACAGAATAATACGAAATGCTCTGAGACCAGGTTGGTTTCGTACATCCCACCCAATTTCCCCTGGGGAGAAATTATTACATTTCTAAACGACTCTTATTGCTATCTCCCTTGCCCAAATCAGTTACTGTTATATTGTTACACACGGTCTCTGACATTGCTCGTTCTGATCTTTCTTAATTTTTCGGGATTATGTGTGTATTGCTTTTTTAAATTATTATTGCTAGGTATTAGGCGTACTGCACTGTTGGAGCTAGAAACGCAAGCATTTCGCTGCACCTGCGATAACATCTGCAAATTTGTGTACCCAGCCAATACAATTTGATTTGATGAACTGACTAGGCTAAATGAACAGCGTATTACTGTGTAATTATTCTTGTAGTGTAGCCTATCAATAATTGGGCTAATTATTTTACATTGTTACACAGTAGGTCTATTTAGGAACAATGTAACAAGCCTCATTACACCTACATTACACCTACAAGTAGGCCTAATAAGAATCCAGTATTGCTACAACAAAATGTGTGTCCAGTATATTTTTCAAAAATATAAATAGAAAAAATAGCTAGCCTACATTTGATTAGGCCTACATTTATAGATGTAGCCTACCCAAGTTGTCCCTTGCCATTCAAATAGATTAATCCTAAATAGGCTAGGCCCTATATTAGTCTATGTGAAAAAATGTGGATATTGTTACATATATCTAGAATAAAGCCACAGGATGGCGCCAAAGGATATGTTTCAAAGTGCATCAATCCAGCTTCTGTACTCTCTCTCTCTCTCTCTCTCTCTCTCTCTCTCTCTCTCTCTCTCTCTCTCTCTCTCTCTCTCTCTCTCTCTCTCTCTCTCTCTCTCTCTCTCTCTCTCTCTCTCTCTCTCTCTCTCTCTCTCTCTCTCTCGCTCTCTCTCTCTCTCTCACACACACACACACACACACAATCTATAAATGGTAAATTAATGCTAAAAATGTGTTGCTCCGTTATAAAACACAAATAAAGCATGAAGTTCTGTGATAGACCTATGAATATACTTTATTTTGATAGAATAATGTCCAACCAGGCTATGCTACATCTGTGCGGGTTCTTCTGACGTCATCCCGGTATATTCCCCTCTCACCAATACAACATTTTCTCTCAGTGAGTTATTTGCTGCGGTAGCCACTCGCGTGATGGTCACCAATGAATCGCATTACATTTTACAATGTATTACAAACCAAGCTTGTTAACCGGAGTCTGTTAATCCTATTAATCTACTCTATCCCATTTACCTGCTACCTTGGCGCCGGTGGATGGATAACTGGACTACCGGGACTGGTAATTTGGGGAAGTTGTGGAAAAGACAAAGGTATCAATTTAGTTGGGAGGAAATTATTATTGTGATTTGATGGATACCCAATGCATTATTAATAACGGATTAATGGGCATTAGAAGAATGCTTCGAATGAAATTAATCTTATGAGATCATCTTTGACCAAAGACCTGATGAAGGAATTTGCCAGGACCAGCATGACTACAGCGGGGATGGATCTGCGTCTTCTGAGAGCGCACCAAACAACCATCGCAATTTTGCCAACTCTGAGCCCCACGGAAAATGACACCAGTTGCGGGGAGCAGATTCTTATCCACGGGAATGTGGAGAAGGTGCTTATCGGAGGAGTTCTCACTGTGCTCACTTTGTTCACTATTTGCGGGAACTTACTTGTGGTGATATCCGTGTGCTTTGTGAAGAAGCTGAAGCAGCCCTCCAATTATCTAATTGTCTCCCTAGCCGTGGCGGACCTGTCCATAGCAGTGGCGGTGATGCCCTTTGTCAGCATCACGGACCTCATCGGGGGGCAGTGGATCTTCGGACAGGTGTTCTGCAACATTTTCATTGCCATGGACGTGATGTGTTGCACTGCTTCGATCATGACCCTGTGTGTAATAAGCATAGACAGGTGAGTCAAGATGCAGTCCCTAATGATAAACCAACAAATCTTTAAATTATTGCAAATGTTCTTGTTTTTTCCCAAAACCATTATCTATGCAGGTTAGTCTAATTTATAAAAAAAAATATATGTCAACAGCAATTAACACCAAAGTACATACTTGCTTAAATTGTTTTATTATACCATTGATGAATAATTAAGAATGTATTATCATATCTATACCCAACCCTATCAACCCTATACCAGGGGTGGCCAACCCTCCTCCTCGAGAGTTACTGTGCAGGTTTTTACTCTAATCCTGCTCTAACACACCTGCTTCTAATGAGCTGCTCATCAGGATCTTGATTAGCAGAATCAGGTGCATTAGAGCAGGGCTGTAGCAAAAGCCTGCACAGCAGCTCTCCAGGAAGACAGTTGGACACCCCTTGATCTATACGATCCTGTGGGTGCTTTATGTCAATCACATTACTTCCATCAGCGACTTCACAATATTTTAAACTAATCTCTTTGCTGTCACAGGTACCTAGGCATAACTAAACCCTTGACCTACCCTGTACGACAGAGTGGGAGATGCATGGGCAAAATAGTTATCTCCGTGTGGCTGCTGTCTGCTTCCATCACCCTTCCCCCATTGTTTGGCTGGGCCCAGAACGTCAACGATGACAAGGTGTGTCTCATCACCCAAGACGTGGGCTACACCATCTACTCTACCGCCGTTGCGTTCTACATCCCCATGTCGGTAATGTTGATTATGTACTACCGCATCTACCGAGCGGCCAAGGTGAGTGCCGCCAAGCACACCATCCAAGGCTTCCCCAAGGCGGAGGACGAGCGTAACAGTGTTGACAGCGTGGCTCCGGCCCTGAAGCTCCAGAAGGAGGTGGAGGAGTGCGCCCGTTTCTCTCATCTACTGAAGAACGACAGGAAAAACATCTCCATCTTCAAGCGGGAGCAGAAGGCGGCTGCCACGCTGGGCATCGTGGTGGGGGCCTTCTCTGTCTGCTGGCTGCCATTCTTCCTGCTGTCCACGGCCAGGCCCTTCATCTGTGGGGTAGAGTGTAGCTGCGTTCCCCTCTGGGTGGAGAGGTTTCTCCTCTGGCTGGGCTACGCCAACTCCCTCATAAACCCATTCATCTACGCCTTCTTCAACAGGGACCTGAGGACCACCTACCGTAACATCTTGCTCTGCAGGTACAGGAACATTAACCGCAAACTCTCCGCCGCCAGCATGCACGAGGCCCTCAAACTGGCTGAGAGACCAGAGCTGGAGATCCAGAACAGTGTTTCTTAAACTTCTCTAACACTGTTACACAGGGACTGGCAACCTATGGTTTAGATCAGGGGTGTCAAACGTACGGCCGCGGTCTGTGGGTGGTTTGAGTAAAAAAATGTCCTCAATGTAATGATAATGGACCTACATTTTTACAGTCTCTTCACTCAGTCCATCTTGTTAACAATCATCAAAACGAAAGCTAAACAGTCAGGGAGCATCAAAATTACAAAAACAAGGGGCAAAATGGGGCAAAATGAGTTTGACACCCCTGGTTTAGATGAAACCTTGGGCTTGACATATGACTAAATTGGAGCAGATAACAATCTATGGTCCACAGGTCCACAGACCGGGGGTTGACAAACACTACTCTAGACTGAGGAATCCTATTCAGTTCATGAGTAGAGAAGGCTATATGAATGTGTATAGAATAACTTACATTATTGTTCACACCTGGCACACACAATAACATTATATCCACATCTTGTCAAGTTATACACAGTACATTTTGCAGTATTAATTTCACTTAAAGAGTTAATTTTAACACTACCTCAGATAACATATAGTCCCATTCTACAGAGTGTAAAAAGTACTCTAAGTATAGTGTTACATTTTGAGTGTTAATGTAACACTTCATAGTGTAAAACATTAACACTGCATTACACTTGCCACTGTTACAGTAAGTGAATTGGGGTGTTGTTTTAACACTATTTGGTGTAAAGCCTAATTTGCATATTTCCCATGGTGCCTTTTCTTTCTGATTGAATTGTAGAGTTACCACCCATGACTGTATTTGTTAGTGACAAAGATGTGGTTGTTGAATTCTTTCCTTTTAAAGGCCTGTGGCTTTCACCAAATGACTATCTAGGTGAATGTTATCATAAAAAATGTAACTTTATGACAATACTTTACATATATCATAAGGCTTTACTTTGATGGCCGAGTTTTACCCTAACAAATCCTGGTTTACAAATTACAGGCCACATCAGGCCTGCAAATCATATTATGCTGACTGGCAAAGTGATGTGTAATTCCTTTTTTAATCCAGACAGAGTTAAGATATCCAACAGTTGGAATTTCTATTTACCCTCAACCTGCATTCAGAATGACTACCAGGGTTAGCAACCTGGTCTCAGAGCATTTCGTATAATTCTGTATGTAAATCCGTGACACTCCATTTAGTATGATATGCTACGTTTGGTGTGGTTACATAAGACAGATGGTTACTTAAGGCTTTGTGTAGCATAAGATTAATCAATCAGGGGCCCCCCGAGTGGTGCAGCGGTCTAAGGCACTGCATCGAAGTGCTCCGGGTTCGATCCCGGGCTGTATCGCAGCCGGCCGCGACCGGGTGACCTATGAGGCGACGCACAATTGGCCCAGCGTCGTCCGGGTTAGGGGAGGGTTTGGTCGGCCGGGATGTCCTTGTCCCATCGCGCTCTAGCGGCTCCTGTGACGGGCCGGGCGCATACCCGCTGACACGGTCGCCAGTTGTATGGTGTTTCCTCCGACACATTGGTGCGGCTGGCTTCCTGGTTAAGCGAGCAGTGTTTCAATAAGTAGTGCAGCTTGGCAGGGTCGTGTTTTGGAGGACGCATGGCTCTCGACCTTCGCCTCTCCCGAGTCCGTACGAGAGTTGCAGCGATGTGACAAGACTGTAACTACCAATTGGATATCACGAAATTGGGGAGAAAAAAAGGGGTAAAAAGTACCAAAAAAATAATACAAATAAAATAAAAAAATATGATTCAATCAAGAACACAGATATTAAAAACAATCCTAAAAAAAATCTACCTGCATAGCATGCTGGGAAATATGATAAAGATGGGTGTGGTTTTGATGGGACTGTTTTACTCTCCACAGTGTAAAACAATAACTCTGGTTATTAACACCAACACTGGGGTTCTATTACACCAATGAGTGTTAATTTCACTCTAACAGAGGGAATTTAAAGGATGCAGAAATCGCTCCACCTTTTCCTGGTTGCTAAAATTATAAATCGCCTTATTTCGGTTTATGTGACAAAACAAGCAAGTATATTGTAGAGAATCATTGTACCATCTAAACCGCTGTGAAATGTATTTTCAATAACCAAAAAACTAAACTTAAGAACGGGAAGCATAGCAATAGCGGGTGGCAAAAAAACCGCAAAAAATAAACTTGAAACGGGAAGCATAAAAATATTTGTTCGGGTCGCCCATCAAGTTACATATTGCAGCTTTAACTCCTGAATCAACAGTAGAAATGTTACACTGAAAAATCAACACGGGCCTGTGTAGGGACAGACTCGAACAATGCATCAGAACACAATGGTCCCTCAGAACACAATGGTCCCTCATTCAAAAAAGAAAACACGAAGCAGATCAAACTCTTCGGTCCTTTAAAAACCTGCTCTATGTAAAATATTGTGTGCTATAGCTTGGAAAATAAATAAATGTGACTCTGGATGACAACATAATGATGTTTGTTTCCAACATTAGGGCTGTTTTCCTAAAAAAGTTTAATCCGGTTTGTGTTTTGTTACCTTGCCACGATACTAATGAGTATTGTGATACTAGTATCGTCCCGGCCCTAACTGAAATGCAGATAACATTTGTAGATAACATAGCACACTATTGTATTTGATGACACAGTAAATAATAGTCTTTGACCGTGACAGGACAAAATGATGCTGTCATGTTTTTTTGTTTTATATATGACAATGTATTTGGTACTTGAAATTGAAAATCATTCTTAATGCATAATGTTTGTGTGAGTAATGTACTTGGTTGCAAAAAATGTATATAATAATGTCAGAGTTAAACAACATCCGTCACAGATGCTGAGTCATGGTTCCAGTTATGGGTATTGAGTAACAGGGAAATTATTCCTTTTATGGTGTGTTCAAGGAACAATCTTCGAAACCATGTGAAATTGTCATTATTATGTATAGAATGTTGACCAATATCAGAAAGTCATGCAATACAATTATGTTAGTAACCTATTTATATCTGAATAGTATGACAGCTGGTGATATGGACATTTGGTTAAATTTACCATGCACGTTTGTTCATTTGTTCATTTATATCAGCTTTTTTGGACTTGTGTGATAACAAGAAGGAACACGTTGCACAGTATGCACAGTGCCTTGCAAAAGTATTCATCCCCTTGGCGTTTTTCCTATTTTGTTGCATTACAACATGTAATATAAATTGATTTTTATTTGGATTTCATGTAATGGACATACATAAAATAGTCCAAACTGGTGAAGTGAAATGAAAAAATAACTTGTTTCAAAAAATTCAAAAAAATAAATAACGGAAAAGTGGTGCGTGCATATTGTCACGGTTTCGGCCGAGGCGGCCCCTCCTCCTTGTTCGGGCAGGCTTCGGCGGTCGTCGTCTCCGGAGTACTAGCTGCCACCGTTCGATGTTTCATGTTTGATTGGTTTTGTCTGTTTGTCACACCTGTTTAGTGTTTAGTATCATTAGGCACCCTATTTAGTACCTTGTGTTAGGTCAGGTGTTGTGTGTAATTGTTCTACTGTCGTGTGGTTGTTTGGTCCTCTGGATTTTTGTTCTCTCTTATTTCGTGTTGATTAGAGAGTCCTGCACGTTGTGCACACTTACTTTGTACAGTTTAGTGTGTGTTTGATTTCGCCTGTGGCCTGTTGCCGTGTTTGGCGTGTACTACGGACTTTACTAAAAGACCTTTGGATTTATATCTCTGTGTCCTGCGTGTGATTCCACATCCCACTACACTCCACTCCTGACAGAATTACACACCATCTCATGGAATCAGCAGGAGCACCCGCACCCACCGAGATCATGGAGGAGCGCCTTCGTGGTCAAGAAGATCGGATCAACCAAATCGGGCACGCCCTGGACCGGGTGATGAACACCCTCCATCGATGGGAGACCAGCGGGGTACCCACACCCCCACCTACCGCACCATCACCATCGGTCAGCCCGCCCGTCCAACTACCGGAACCCAGTGGGATTCGGCTCTCGCTCCCGAGGGCGTACGACGGCACCGCTGCCGGGTGTCAGGGGTTCCTGTTACAAGTGGAACTCTACCTTGCCACCGTACACCCGGCGCCCTCGGGACACGAGAGCGTTTCCGCCCTCATCTCCTGTCTCACCGGCAAGGCGTTGGAGTGGGCCAACGCCGAATGGAGGAGAATAGACGCCGCCACTATCACCTATGCGGAGTTCTCCCGCCGCTTCCGTGCGGTCTTCGACCATCCACCAGAGGGGAAGGCGGCGGGGGAGCGTCTATTCTACCTCCGGCAGGGGATGAGGAGCGCTCAAGAGTTTGCGCTGGAGTTCCGGACTCTAGCGGCAGATGCAGGGTGGAATGAGCGGGCCCTCATAGACCACTTTCGTTGCAGCCTCCGGGAGGACGTCCGCAGGGAGTTGGCGTGCAGGGATACTACACTCTCATTTGACCAGTTGGTGGACATGGCCATTCGGCTGGACACCCTGCTCGCTACCCGCGGACGTCCCAGGTGGGGGCCGCCCATTCCACCCTCCAGCGCCTCCGAGCCGAGCCCGATGGAGCTCGGAGGTGCTGGCGCTAGAGGAGGGAGAAGAAGGAGCCCGAGGGGGGCCGTCCCCTGCACCAACTGTGGCCGTGGAGGGCACACCGCGGCTAGGTGCTGGGGAGGGTCCCCTGGTGGAGGAGACGGCAGGCCACACATTGGGGAGTCCTCCCAGGTGAGTAGGCGCCCCACTTACCCAGAGCTTTCTGTCGTACACATAACTATACCTGTTTGTTTTCCACAGGTTGCACCTCGTTCCCAGCATAAGGCGCTAGTAGATTCAGGCGCAGCTGGGAATTTTGTAGATCGTAAATTCTGTGTTGAGTTAGGGATTCCCCTCCTTCCGGTTGATAATCCTTTCCCTGTACATGCCCTAGATAGTCGTCCGTTAGGATCTGGGTTGATTAGGGAGGTCACAGCGCCACTTAGGATGAAGACGCAGGGGGGTCATGAGGAGACGATTCAACTCTATCTGATCGACTCTCCTGCGTATCCGGTG